ATACTTAGGAAACATAAGATGAGAGAAGCCATAGTCAGTTGGATGCAGCCAAAATGGAGAAAATAACTCCTGGGCTTGTTGACCATTCTTTCTGGGCACTCATCAGCCCAAACCCATCCATCTGTCTTTTGGTACCGGGTATTGAACTCAGGATACCAAGCCTGGGGATATGGCTTAACCACTGAGCCATATCACCAAGCATTTTCTATAGTTTATTTAGAGACAGAGTCTCACTGAGTTGCTTTAGGCCTCACTAAATTGTTAAGGCTGGCTTTGAACTGCCGATCCTCCTGTCTCAGTCTCCTAAACCACTGAGATTACAGGCATGCACTACAGCAGCCAGCTCAAGCCCACCCATCTTTATTGATGTTAAAGGCAACATACAACAAGACATCAAGATTATATGTATATGCTATTCTCAAGGAATTCCCAGACCAGGCAGAGACAGGTGTGGCTGTGCAGGGACCAAAACCACCACCCAGAGCCGACAGGAGATAGGAGGTAAAGAAATGGGTGCTGAAGGAGGTGGGGAAGGACTCCTGCTGATGCTGCCTCAGCCAGGGTCAGAAATCTGAAGGAGCCACATGAGCTTTGCTTGTTTTGAAGGAAGAAACACCAAGCAAGGCTTGGCCCAGTGCCTCAACAAAGCTGCATCATTGAAGTTAGAGCAGGTCAAGAACACATGGGGCTCTGGAGTACAGTCTAGGAGGCTCTGGGGAAGCTGGGTGCCACCCTGGGCTGTAGGAGTTATCAGGACCCCTGGTCTCCCACTCCTAGTAAAGGAAACCAAAAGCATCTCCAGATATTGCCAAATACCTGGGTGAGACCATGGCTGGCACACTTCACCTGAGCAACTATGTGGAAAAGAAAGTGAGGGGTTCAAAGTCAAGGGGGAGAACACAGGTCAGGAAGCCAGGCTTCCAGCAGCCTCAAACAAACTGAAGTTCCAGAGCACCAGAGGATAAGGCCCAAAGAGCAGGTACTGAGTCTGAGAAGCCTTAGAGACTCCTGTGTCCTAGGCTGAGGGGAGCTATTTAGCTGCACCTTAACTCCCATCCATGTGAGGCCACCCAGATGGCAGGGAGCAGGCTCAATCATTTTTGTGGAGGGCTGGGGGTGGGGTGAGGATCATGGTATTATCTCCAGTACGCATTAATCTCTTGCCTGCAAGAGGGCTCTGCATTCTGTAGCTCATAGAAGCTGAGCTGCCAATTCAAGATGAAATCTGATGAGAAACTGAGTTTCTGCTATCCTCATGCCATAAAAACAAGCATGTCCCACATAAGCATTGGTCCTGGGTCTTGAAGCAAAATCACAAGCAAATGGAATGTATGCAGGAAATAAGATGAAGCCACAGAAAACACAGTGGCAATGTGCTAGAAACCTGTCCCAAAACCCTGATCTGGACTGATTTCTCTCTAGGCCACCCCACCTGTCATTGCTCATCAGGAAAGTCCTTGTTCACATCCCTGTGATGGTTCTTTATTAGCTAGAATATTAAAAACTGAAGTCATCAACCTAAATGCAGAGATCTTTCTATCATCATCCTCATCTCCCATTATTTCTTATACAAACTTTAAACCACATATAAACCATCTTCTTCCCTTTGCTCCTAAATTTAAAACATTTTCTGCCTGTGTTGTCTCCTTGCAGTCAAAACCTAGCAGCCACCTCCCTCCAGAATCTCTGAAGCACGCTTATCCTGTGACTGGACCAGAAGTGAAGGGTTCAGGCTTTTCAGGCCACACAGCCTGTCACAACTATTCAATTTGCTAAAGCAGCTTCTGACAATACAAAAACAAGCAATGTAGCTGTTTCAATGAACTTTATTGACAAAACAGGGAGGCAGTTTCCTGTGGGCTATAATTAAATTGAAAACTAAAAATAAATAAATAAATAAATAAAAATAAAAAAGCTAGGGATGTGGGGCTGGGGATGTGGCTCAAGCGGTAGCGCGCTCGCCTGGCATGCTTGCAGCCCGGGTTCGATCCTCAGCACCACATACCAACAAAGATGTTGTGTCTGCCGAGAACTAAAAAATAAAAATATTTAAAAAAAAAAAAAAAAAAGCTAGGGATGTAACTCAGTGGTAAAGCACCCCTGGGGGCAATCCCCGGGACCAAAAAGAAAAATGAATATATCTAAGATACAGAGGAAAGAGATGATCAGATCTAATGTCAGTCATCTCCTTGGAAAACATGTGGCTTCTCCCTACTTTGCTCTAAAGCAACTCTTCACTTATTCCAACAGAATGAGGAAAGAAGAACATCACTGTGCTGGTAATTCAAGTTTTCATTATGTTACACATCCTCATGGTCACCTAAGGTTTATTTTAAGGAGCTACACTAAAGCAACTCTGTGGAGAGCAACATGGCTTGGAGGTTTGACTCAGTCCTCTGGACCTTACCCAGGAACAATCCTACCTAACCAAGGACAGAAAGTTCCATGGTATTCCAAGATAGTTCATTAGATGCACTCTTTCTCTGAAGATATTTTAAAAAACAGTTCTATATAATAACTTACGTAAGGGGCTGGGGATGTGGCTCAAGTGGTAGCGCGCTTGCCTGGCATGCGTGCGGCCCAGGTTCGATCCTCAGCACCACATACAAACAATGATGTTGTGTCCGCCGAAAACTAAAAAATAAATATTAAAAAATTTCTCTCTCTCTCTCTCTCTCTCTCTCTCTCTCTTTAAAAGAATAAAGTAAGTACACAAGATTCCTTCTTTTACCTTTATAAAAATCTGTTTTTCCTAATATAACCTCAGCTTGTTTGTGGAAGAAGCAATAGAACCCGATTTCAAACTAGTATAATACTACACTATCTACCAATAGTGCTGGGGATAACTGAAGAGCCCATGATCCAGCACATGCACCCTGTAGCACCCAATCCCACCCACACCTAACCCTGCCAGGCCAGAACCTTGGCTGTAAGAACAATCCCTAGCTTTTTAAAATACAAGTGCCAGGGACAACGGGTTTTGCAAGTTTTAGTTCACTCACAACAAGTCTCCGGAGCCAGTACTACTTAGCGTACCCATTTTACAGCTGAAGAACCAAAGCCAAAGAGTACTTGCCTAAAACCACAGAGCCAGTAAAGGAAGAGTCACGACTCAAAAGCGGTCAGTCTGGCTCCAGAAAAACCCTCTTGTCCCTTCTTCCCCGGCTCACTAGACCAAGCGCAGGAGGGAGGCACCTCTCTTTCCTTCCAGCAGTGGGGCATCCAAGATGGCTTAAGGAATGAATGGATCCTGGGCTGTCCCGTCAAACCTCCATCACTCTTCCTCTCTTCCCAGACTCATTGTGAAAGAGAAGCAGCCAACAGAACCACCTGCTGTTTCCAGAAGGCACTCAGGACGCAATGCTCAATTCCCCTCCCTGGCTTTCAAAGACAAACGTCCGTATTGTCTGCACCAAGGGAGGAACCGAAGCCTTGCAACTGTAGGTTTTTCTGCAGAGGTCACTGGAGGCTTGGTCAAACCCCCGCAACACTGAAGGGGGAGGGGGCCCAGCCGCATTTTTGCCGCTGAAGGCTGCGCAGCGCCCACAGCAGCTGCGGTGAGGAGCAGCAGCATGGAACACACCCACAGCTGCCGCGCCTGGAGCCGGCTGCACGTTTTAAAATAAAGATGTCCAGGCCCGGACTACAGGCTCTCGGCCCCCACCCACACCACGCCGGCCCCCGGGATGTGCCGAGGAAGCTCCAGCTCCAAAGACCCCGGGAAGGGCAAGCCGCCTCTGCCGCAGAGGCCGGCCACGGAACCCAGGCACGCCACGCGCAGGCAGCCATGACCCGGCCTGGAGACGCCCACCGACTCCCCGGGCCCGGAGGACAAAGCCTGATCAGGGTCGCAGCCAACGCCCGCTCGAACCCCGCCCGGCGGCCACCACCTGGTCCCATCCGACCTCACCCGGAGGAATGGGATGTCGTCCCGCTCAGGAAGAGCACCTTCACACTCACACCTGTCCTCGGGCCGGGCACACATGCACTCACACCAGTCCCCAGGCCGGGCACATATGCATTCACACCTGTCCCTGGGCCTGGCAAACATGCACTCACACTGTCTCCAGGCGGGGCACATACACACTCACACCTGTCCTCGTGCTGGGCACATTCACACCCATCCTCTGGTCAGGGACACGCACTCACACCTGTCCAAGGCCAGGCACACATGCGCTCACACCTGTCCTGCTGGGGGCCCACGCACTCACACCTGTCCTCAGGCACACACACCCGCCCTCAAGCCGGGCACAATCACAACCACCACCACCCTCCGGCCAGGCATTCTCACACTCATCGCTATCCTCGAGCAGGGGCACACAAGCATTCACTCCGACCCCTAGATCCGACTCACTTCAACCATATCCCCGCCCCTCACACTTAGAATGCCCACCCTCGAGCAGGGGCACACTCACGCACCCCCGGGCCAGGCACACTCGCGGATTCACACCCACCCTCACACCCCGCGGCGTGTGCCTCGTCCCCTCGCGGCCCGACTCGCGGCCTCGGCGCCTCCCGCCCGGCCCCTCGCGCCCCTTCGGTCTC